GGCATTAAAGAGCAAATATTTAACGTTGTATGGGATAGAGCCATGGAAGGTTTCACAGAGAATATTATGTTAGAGTTGGGTCTTGGAGGATGAATAGAAGTTTGTCTGACTGATCAAGAGAAGTAGAATTCCAGAGCAGAAGGACCGGCAAGAAAAATGATACAGAGACATAAAAATAGGAGGTTCAGGGTATTGTGAGCAGTTTTCTCTCAAGGAGGTACTTCTGATAAAGCATGAGGTCAGAGGTAAGATGAGAAAACAAACAGTAGTGACTGGAAAGCGTGATGGAAGCCAGACTGCAGAGGCCTTCAGATGCCATGTTAGGTAGCTTGGATTTTATCTCCTGAGCTACTGAATAGCATTGAAAGAATTTGAGGATAATGGAATAATCTGACGGTATCTAATGCATGCTAAAAAATAATGACGACAATGACCTGATTGTCCTTCAGTGGATAAATGGTTAAAAAAAAAAATACCTGTGGAACACCCATACCATACCATAGAATACTACTCAGCAATAAAAAAGAAGAAATTATTGATACACAACAATTTCAATGAATCTTAAGAGAATTATGCTAAGTGAAAGAAAGCCTAACCTAAAATATTTTTTTAAACTGTATGATTCTATTTATATAATGTTCTTGAAATCACAGAATTATAGAGCTGGATCACAGATCTGTGGTTGCCCAGGATTAGGGACTGGGGAGGAGTACATGGATTTGGCTAAAAAAGGGTAGTTTGAGAGAGTCCTGTGGTGATTTCTTCCTGGTGGTGGTAATTACACAAATTGTACAGTTAATAAAATTGCATAGATATATAAACACACACACATACACATGAATACATGTGTAACTGGTAAAATCTGAATAAATTCTGTAGATCGTACCAATATCTATTTACTAGTTTTGATGTTGTACTTATGTAAGATGTTACCACTGGAAAAAACCGGATTAAGGATTTACTGAAACTCCCTGTATATGTGCGTATGTGTGCGTGTGTGTGTGTGTGTGTGTGTGTGTGTGTGTGTGTGTGTACTCCTGTGAATCTATAATTATTTTTTTAAAAAATTTAATTATGACAAAAATGGTAGTGTAGTAAACCTAAAAACTGGAAAAAGAAATTTTTAAATGGAATTTAAAGATTATTGCTTAGACTATATTTCTTCCTGTAAAGAATGCTCTTGAGAATTTCAAAGCAAGTTTTATGTAACTTTATAGCACAAGATTGTATTACATGGATGTATATGTTACAGATAAAATTTTCCTCAATGAAATTTTTCTCAATGAATTTTTCTCAATATTCAAATTGTTCTGGAGCTAAAGGAACAATTTTAGAATGGGAAGGAGTTGCTTATCAGTACAATTGTGCTCAATTCCAAATGACGAAAGCTCTGAGACCATGTCAAACACAAGTAGTTGGATCATTTAAAAAAGTTATAAATAAATAAATAACACCCAACCAATCAAACAAGCAAAAACAACCAAAAATTCTGCCTTAACTTCTGTTCTGAGTGATTTAGTTTTCTTAGGATGGAAGGTTCATATATGTGCCTACATCTGTCATGCATGGTTGCAGATTGTACATCAAATTCTAACACAATGTGATGAACTTTGAGATTAAAAACACATGCAAAACCAACGTAAAGAAATTCTCATGCATTAGCAAGCACAAGTGTAAAAACTATAAGAAACACAATAGTGTTGTGTGATTTACATATAGGATGGCCCCCAGGATAAGCATTAGGTGGAATCTTTTTCTCTTGGGCTGACAGTATCATTTGAGTAGCAAGTTGTTCTAATGGACTTTTTTTCATCCTCAGCCTTGAAACAATAGCTAATTTCATGCAAGATTCTTGCACAATGGTAGTGTGGATCTAATAGTGGTGTTGAGCATTTTATTCTTGTAGAATTCAGGCGCTTCACACAAGCGTGTATGAACTCTTTCTAAAATTCTAAGTTCATGAGTTCTTGATAAATGAATGGTAATTATAGACTAAGCTATGAGTTGGACTTTAAAAATCATAAGGCATTATATGACTAGAAGGCATTCTACTCATTTATCAGAGTCATACATAAGTCCTCAATGGCCAGGTGGCACCCTACAGCAAGGTTGGAACCTGAAAGAAGTCCCTGGGATGGAAAAACAGTTTGCAGAGATGGGCACAATTACTCACGTCACAACATGTAACCATAATCCCGGAACTGAAGCAGAGATGACGGCCTCAAAATGGATGAACTAAGTTGGCCCAGGCATGACTATCACCGCCCAAAATATAGCCGTCATAGGAATGTCTCACAATAAATTACTATTTGTCTCCTCATTCATGGTCTGTTTTCCCAACCTGATTATAAGCCCCAAATCTTGCCTGGTTTCTACACCTCTGTGTACACAATTTTAGTAGGGTTCCTGGTACAGAATAGGTACCCAGTAAATATTCGTTGACTAAATGAATAATACCTCTATAACACTGCTTTTTGACAACTGATGAGTGGTAGATACTTTTCAAATCCTAATGAAAGCTACGAACCTTCTCCTCAGAAAAAAATGCATGGAAAAAATATAATTTTGATCTTCTATAGGGTTCATGGATCCCAGATGAAGCTATGCCTATGAAAATCATTTTCGAGGATGACGCTATTATCATAAACACAATTAGCTATTGACTTTCCATTCTAGGTCCTTTAGGTATTCTGATCTCTTACCCAAGCCAGTTACCTCCCCCGACTCTTTGGCATTTTTTATTTTTTGCTATTTGTTATTGTTGATTAACAGTCCAAACATGCGCATTAAATTTTAGTGACATCAATGTCAAAGAAAAGGATAATTCAGCTAAAAAATATTTCTATTATTTCTGATAAAGTGTACAGTTAGTCTCTCCCTCCTCCCACCTCTGTCTTTCTCTCTCCAGCACTAAGCAGTCTTAGTGTATGTATATTTGGCATAATCTCATATCTCTTTCCTAAAAATTACTCTGAGTAAAATTTGAAGAAGAGAGGGGTTAAGTCACACTCACACCCAAAACCACATCCCTATCATAGATGGAATGGTTCAGAATAAGAAGGGGAGTAGAAATGAGGTATCTTGTCTAGCCACCATAAACAACAAATAGTACATTGACTTCAAAGTATACTGAAGACCGCAGATGGCTAACTTTTTGTCACAATAGAGTTGTCCTTAGTTGCCAGTAATGAAAGATGCCCAAGTGAATCTTACTTGCACGCTGAGCTTTTGGTAAAGAAAGACAATTATCATTCCATCTGAGCTAACCTGTAAGTATTACCAGAAAATCCTTAATGGAAATCTCCTGCCTTCTAAAGCCTTCATATGATCAAACTCTTCCAGTACAATGGTCCATAAGCAACTATGAAACTCTACCACAAGAAATGAAAGGAGTTACTTTTTATTTCTTCTAGTTTACAAAAAGAAAGATCATGGTTCTACTAAAATGCTGGAGAACACAATTCGAATCACCTCTGTGATCTGCCCCAACCCTGAGTGTCCTGTTCCTAGAGGCCCTGCCAAGAAGCAGGAGCTCCCCTGCATCTCAGCAGCAGGCCTGCATGCAGGTCGTACTGTGTCCACGGGGCAGGGTCTGGGTGCATGCCACAGAAGTAGCAATAGAAAATGCCAATGCACTCAAGACTGCAGTCTCAGTTAGCAAACTGTCATTGTGGAGCCCCACTCTGCATCATGGAAATATCAAGAAAAACAGAGACACTCACATTGCTGACACTTCGAGGAGTCGCCTGGAGTCAGGCTGCTTGTACTGTGCTGAGGTTAGGGCAAAGAGCTTTAGCCATGGTTTTCAGTGCCCTCGCCACCTCCCCCACCCCCCAGCTTTCTTTCTTAATGGCTCGTAAATACATCAAAACAACAGTGCTTGGAGTTGTTGCAATGAGAAGCGTTCCTGTAAGTCTGCAAAGAAACTTTTTCATGGACAAGTTTTATCGAAATTGGTTTAAATGCTTATTTTAAAAGCCCCACATAAAAAACAGTCTTGTGTGTGCATTGTTTCAATTGCATTAAGTTCCTTCTATCCTAAAACCTGGTTCCTAAGAAAGAGGCTGGATAGTTAAATGTAAATCATTGACAAAATCAAATCTGCAAATTAGAGTAACCAAAGCTTTTGGAAGGAGCATCACTGGCTTTTGTCCTCTACATCTGCAAACACTTTTGGAGATTAGAAGCATAGTAGTTTCAAAGAAATAAAGCCAGGAAGGCTCAGTAGAAAGCAAATAGGAGGCAGAAGTCACATAATTGAAAAATAAAATTTTCCATTTATCAAATTTAAGTCATTCCCTATTAAAGAGAACATCAACTATTACCAGGAAGATTTCCAACTATGGAAAACAGCATAGAGGAAGAATGAGCTTCACGTTTTATAAGGAAACTAGTAGTATTACAACAATTGACTTTTTCTCTATATTTCATGACAAGGTTTACATTTATTTCTAACAGTAATTTAGATTTAAATATGTCGGTGTTCAATCTAATTTGCCATTTGGGGGGTTTCTTTCTGCTACAAAACTTCCTCAAAATCTCCCCTAGCCTTCATCATCTCTGTCTTTCAAAAACTAAATATGAATGCAGTACTAGATAGGAAACTATTTTTAATAGTATAATCACAGAAACTACAGTCTGTACCACAAAATAGGACCACCACATTTTCTGTTGAAGAGCTACACCGATCTCAATACCAGTGTGCACAGTTGTATTAGTCTCTGCAGACTGGAATTCATACAGCTCCTAAGGTGTTCCTAACACTTTAGAATATACAAAACGAGCAGCATTAAAAAAAAAAAAAAAATCATACACACACACAACACACGCAATACGAAACCTTGGGGTTTCCACCCTCCTCAGGAGCTATTTTAGAGACACCTGAGAATTCTAAATTAAGCAACCCACCGAGGAGTAAGTCACTTTTCAAACCCGAACTGTCTCCACTGCACCTGTATAGAACACGCAAACCCCGAGCAGAGGGAATCTTACATCCATACCTATATTTCATGCCAGTCTGCTTTGCGGTGGACTCTTTGAGAGAAATGTGATGCTGAGGGGTGAACGTCCCCAGGCTGCGCGCGATGATAGCGACCGTGCGGAATTTGGCCCGGGCTGCGTTCACCACATTGGGGGCGGTGGAGCTCTGTTTGCTCAGAAGTCGGTCCTCACCATTCCGGCTTTTCAAATTGTGCTCTGTGCAGGCTATGGAGACTTGCATTGCTTCCCCGGGCAGCTCGCGGTCCCTTTCAGAACCCCAAAGCACAGGCAGTCACGAGAGGTTGAGCAGTTGGGAGGGTTTCTGCTCGTCTTTTAACCCCTCCTTGCCCCCCCTCCTTCCTGGGGATGCCGTCAGAGGAGTCCTCGCGGCGACTTCAAAGCCGGGCAAGCGGCAGGAGCGGCTGCGGTGCAGGACAGAGCCCCGAGCACTGACAGAAGTAAACAGCCAGCCCTGAAGTTGTCACATCAGCTGGAGCGCGGATCAGGCTAGCAAATCTTCCTGGGCAGTAATCTCGGCTGATTAAATGGCCAAATCCATGTAGTCGGGAGGCTTCTGCAGACACCTAGGGATGAGCATTCGTGCTGACTACACGCAGCCCTGCCGGAAGCCCATCCTCCGTGTCTGAATGCGGGCTCGCCTCAGGGCGATGGCTCAAATCCACGCAGGCATACCGCAAGATGCGCCGCCAGCACCCTCTGGACCACAGGCAGGATGCTCAACTGGCACGCGGAGCATCCCAAGAAGCAGCTAATCGCAAGCCCTTCTCCGGGGACCGGCAGTCTCCAACCGCTCAGGCTGTCAGCTCCCTCCCTGCCCCACTCTGGGAGGTCATAGGGGCTCCTCAAGACCCCTCCTCACTCATCTTCAGGCAAAAGCCTGGGTCGCTGAGCTCGCAGGGACACAGGTTTGCAACTGCACGGAGGAGCAGCCAGTTAGTTCCCTTAAAGAGATCTTTGCCTTTGTGTGCAATGGGAAGGCAAGAGCCACTTTTACAGACTCTTGCTGTAGCAGAATCTGGAGGGCTGCTCGTAAAGGGGGCTCTGCCCAGACTCAGACCAAATCCTGCTGCAGCACAACAGTTGGAAAGGGTGGTGGGGAGGCAGAGTGGGGGTTCTTCTGCCCCTGGACCGTGCCAGTGAATAAACACGTGAATACTCACTCTGTGACTGGCTGGCTCGCTAAAACACAACCTAAAATTTCTATTATTAGCGTTCATTGCCCCTTTGCACGTTATTTCTTAAGCAGATAAGTTTAAGTTTCCTGAAAAGCCACAGTGCAGATTTTTTAGGGTCGAATCAGCTAACTAGCTGCAAAATTTATATTGGCTCGCAAGGAGGGCCAAGGACGGAGGAGGAGGCAGCGTCCAGCACCACCCAGAAAGGGGCTGCACTAGGGGAGCAGCAAGTCCACATCACCATCTAGAAAGGTCCAGATCAGGTGGCTGGAAACATGTATACTGCCTGCTGGTCATCTACGGCCAACTGGTGAGACAAACGCTATCCCCAAATCAGGGGTGGGCAGCAAGATGAGACGCAGGAACATTGCCTGGTTCAGTGTCAGGTACAAAGCAGCTGCTCAATAAATGTGGTTAAATCAAACTAAGTATCAACTGGCCAATGACAATTTATCTCTCCATTTGAAATGCATGGAAGTCGGACTCCTTGCTATATAGATGTATTTACAATAAAGTGAGGCTTCCGCAAGATCCGTTTTCTAACCGTGGGTCCCTACACCTATTTGTGAGTGCCATCTCTGCACTAGGCGATAGAGAGAAATTTAGAGGGGGAAAAAAAAAATGAAGCACTGTCCTCCTCAAAGAACTGGCAATCTGGGTGGGAAGGACAAAGCATTGTCTTAAAGGAACCAATTAACAATGTCAGAAGCACAGTAATGGTCGAATGAGCTGTACAGACATTAAGTGCACTAGAATTTATTAGGGAAGTGATCATAGGAACCTGGAGAAAGTTTTTCATTTATTAATTCCCCACACTTCCACTAAGACTCTATTTGGTACCTGCCTTTGCTGTCTCTGGGGTCTAAAAAAGACTTAGACAGAGGCTAGACCTCAGGGAGCTCATGGATGCCCAGGCAGCCCTCAAAGAAGGATGGGACTTTGGGGCATAAATTTGATTAGCAAGAGAGGAGGGAGCTGTCTTCTCAGAGGTTAGCAGGGTGTGGGGAGAATGCACACTCTGGCTGTGTATGTGATAAAAAAAATAACAGGTCTGACCACTTCTTCCCAGCCAAATTAAGTTGTAGGAATGGAATTTTCAAGTAGAATATGTGCCTATTTTGAATTTTATTACAAATATGAATCTTAACATGTTATAAGGTTTAAATTATATGATGGAATTTCATCTTTTACCCTCCATGATGTTCCCACTCCTTACTTCAAAAAATATACTGCCTAATGTTTAGTGGTTGGGAAGTAACTTTAGGATGGAATGAGGGTTGTAGAAAGGGACAAATGAACCTAGAATGCCTTCTATTTACCCTCAGCTCCAGTGAAAGTGTTCTTTAAGTATATCTTTGTTCCCTGGAATAAACAACAGTGGGAGGAGAGGAAGCTGATCATTAAAACCTTTATTTTTTCACACTATGTTGGCTCATCGGAAATGATCAATGTGAATCAGGAAAAGAGTCAAAGTGAGAAGAGGAAGAAGTGGGAGGAATCAGAAGGAACAGCTCTGAAAAAGGGAAAAATAAAGCAGCCTGGGAGATAAGACAGAGCACAGTGATCATCGCAGGGCTAGAAGGGTCAGGA